TTTAAAAGAAATGTCAGGTTCAAAATATACAATAAAGCGTAAGTAAATCCTACATTATATATATATATATATATATTGGGATTTGGTTGGTTAGTGTGGCTTTGTTTGGCCTTGCTGATAAATGCTGTTAAGGCAGTAAGCTTGTCTTTTAACTTTCATGCTGATGTTGTTTTGATTTGTTTAAACCAGTGGTTTGACCCTACAAACATTTGCCACACAATTATAAACAAGAATTCCTTTTCATTTGAGAGAAAACAAAATGGTGAAAATGTATATAATAATATACCCAATATTTATATATAAATATACCAAATTAATGGTTTATAGATTGTCCTTAGATTGTGTGTGTGTGTGTGTGTGTGTGTGTGTGTGTGTGTGTGTGTGTGTGTGTGTGTGTGTGTGTGTGTGTGTGTGTGTGTGTGTGTGTGTGTGTGTGTGTGTGTGTGTGTGTGTGTGTGTGTGTCTGTATGTATGTATGCATGTATGTATATATATATATATATTATTTTTTATTTTATTTTATTTTTTATCAAATTCATCTCATACAATTCTGGTATTGTTAATTTAGGGTCATTATTTTGTAAGAATGTGAATTGCTTATTCACTGTAGGAATGACAAGCGTAATCCTCTTTTTTTGCCAGTGTTGTGGTCTGAATGGGCATCTCTGTAGCTTTGAACTTCTGACGAAACTATGTGGGCTGTAAACACTCAGAAATGGCATGCAGATCTGTTAGTTCACAAAGCCAACTCTTACTTTCCAAGCCAACACAAATGCTGATCATTCAGTGGAGTTAATGCATGATTATATCTTGGGATTTGGTTGGTTAGTGTGGCTTTGTTTGGCCTTGCTGATAAATGCTGTTAAGCCAGTAAGCTTGTCTTTTAGCTTTTATGCTGATGTTGCTTTGATTTGTCTAAACCAGTGATTTGACCCTAAAAACATTGGCCACACAATTATAAACAAGAATTCCTTTTTATTTGAGAGAAAACAAAATGATGAAAATGTATATAATAATGTACCCAATATTTATATATAAATATACCAAAATAATGGTTTATAGATTGTCATTGTTACAAAAAAAAAAGTTTTTTTTCAACTCATTCAATGTTATGAAAGTAAACTGAATCAATAATATGTCTACATCAACCAGAATTTGCTGAGATTTTATTTTAGTATGCTGAGTTACTTCCAACCATAACTGAGTATTATGTAGAGGAGGAGCTTTCTCTTTTAGCATAATTACCTTGTAGCAAATAAACGGTAAGGGGGCATGGTTCAACGATGACCAGATGTGGAAGCAAATAGCTTGATTGTAGATTACCAAAACAAGCTTTTTTTAAAGTTGATTAAGTTGCATGGATTGTTTAACTTAAAAAATAATGTGCACTAGCAAAATAATCATTGTAAATGTTGATGTCACATGGATTTTAAAGGGGACCTATTATGCCCCTTTTTACAAGAGGTAAAATAAGTCTCTGATGTTCTTAGAGTGTGTATGTGACATTTCAACTCAAAATGCCCAATAAATAATGTCTTATAACTTGGAATTTTGAAGCTGTCCCTTTTAGGTTTTAATCCTAATTTTGGGGTCTGCCGCTTTAAATTTAAATGAGATTATGCTCCCAGCCCTCTTTTCAAAAGAAGGTGGAGCTGCAAATGTCTATTGCTGAGTCCCAATTTACATACTATCCATCCTAAATAGGATTGGAGAATATATGTTAAAAAAATTATGCCAAATGTTCTCAGATGGTCTACTGTTTCTGGTAGAAATTCAAAGTATAGAAAAATCTATACTCTACAATTTATTTGTTTTTAACAAGACTGACGTCCTACGCTAATAAGCAGACTTTCCCCCTCTATTAGCATGGCGTTTTCAATAGCATGAGGGCCCAATGCCAATCCTATTTTTGTACCCCTTCCCCATTCTCCTTGGCCCTTAAAACATGTGTGCTTCAAAATTTACCCCTTAAGCCTGGTTTATAGACTTGGTCTGCGTCAAGTGATCGGCGTGACCCACGGTGCATGCAACCCACGTAGCTGTGCATTCATACTTCTGTGTGGATTCTGTTGCTCTGCATTAACACTTCCGAAACACTAGTTGGCAGTAAGGTGTTTATGTTCCTCTGTGTCGAGTTTCTTCGCTGGTGTTTTGTTTTTTCTGAACGCTTCCTTAATGTACAAGTGGTTTAAACTTGCTCATTTTGAGGCAAGAACCAGCGGACGTGCAACAACTTTAACCTTGAGGTAAACACAAAACAGAACTTTCCATCCGGAGCTCCTTCATGGGACTCCAAACATGTAAACAATCAGTCCACCGGGCTCGCGCGGCTCTTGGTCCTGCCTACATTCGTCAGCCAAGCCGACCAATCACCACATGTAGTTACATTTTTGGAATAAAAAGCGACGTTGACGACCACGGCAAGTGCTTTGTGTCCACACATAGGCCGCACCGAAGCATACGTGTGCGCTTGACGCAAAAGTATAAATCAGCCTTAAGAAATAAGACACCCCTACAATGCCTGCACATGTCATTATATGTCATCGTGAGCTCTTTCTTCATGTAAGATCAGACGATGACGACTGCTGTAGTTATTTCAGTTGTGTTATTTTTTGGTATTAATCTTTAGGAAATCACTGAAGTTATTTATCATGTTATCATAATGATAATGTGGCAATGAGATCATAACTACTGTATACTGCACATTTACACTGTGGCCATATTAATCTATGCAAACACACAAAAACAACAGTAACATTATAGCAGAAACTGTAAAATGGTCGTTCCCAGCCACTAGACTTTTCTGCTAGGGTATTCAAGTGTCATCGAGAATGTTGTTGGACTGCTATATGAGAGGAACATGAACGCAGTTATGAATATATTAAAACACGTGCTTGTTTGTTGTAAAAATTTGTAATAATGACAAAATTACTCTTTTGTGGATCTCCTTATTCCGGGTGTAGCTATCCTGCCGTTGTGGCTGGTGTATTCTGGGAAAATTTCTTACCCCTTGGTTTCAAATGTGGTCCTAAAAAATCTCCATTTGAAAGGCTATAAAGCCTTTCCCTTAGCCCTATGCCTTCAAGCTAAAGGGAACTGGGACAGGGCTAAACGGCAGAATTGGGATTGGGCCTAAGTTTGAGGTGTCGTGAATTTTTTTTTTAATAATTCAAAAAGTTAATTATTCTGCTTATACTAAAGTTATCATGCTTAAAGATGCTGTTCAAATGTTGTATACGCTTATTTCACGCGGCTGCCATTTTAAAGAACCAAAGCGAGGCTGCGTTGGGAAGGAACCCAGAAGTATCGGACCAGCACTGTAAACATTGCAGTAACATGCTGTGTACTACAAACCTCCAGCTGTTGCCGAGATTTCAAAATGCAGAAATAGTGTAAACATCACTTTAATATGATTCAGTAAGTTTATTTTAAACAATAAAAGCAATTTAGCATCAAACAAAATCACAATCTCAGTGATGTGCTTGTGTCCTCATAGGCTTCAGTTCATGGCACTAGTTAAACACCGTGAGGACGCTTTCCTGCTTCAGCCTATGTAACCCGGTGAATGATAAAACACTGCAGTCCTCTGCAGCACACCCTCATGTTGTCTGTAATAGTGTTGTCCTGGTACTGAAGTTTTAAACCCGGCTATTTCCCGATAACATGGAAGCGCTGCTGAGCGCGGATGACTTGACTGATCTTCACGGCTTCGCGCTTCAGTCTCCGTGTATCTGTGTTTGGTTAGTGCTCAGTTTACTGCTCTTCACCCAGTGCAAACACAGATACACGGACTGGAGCATGAAGCAGCCATCAAGATCGGTCGAGTCATCAAGCAGATCGCTCGTCTGTGTTTGTGCTTAGTATACAGCGGTGGGTGAACTAATGACCTTCTCGGCCAATCACAAGCATTTCTGTTGAACACGTGAACACAATGGCAAATCAGCGCTGTTTTAAGAAAGCCATTAACATTGCCTTAAATGTTAGCGCGAGATTGCCGGTTTTTCATTTAATTCAGTATCGTGACAAGTCTAATATAGTGAAAGAATCAGTTTATTAACTCGAGTTTGATAAATGGCATCTAAAACGTGTGTTTGGGAAAGAAAACGTCAGCTAACTAGTGCCATTTCCCTTAACTTGGCTGAAAATGAGCTCTGATATCCCTTTTTACATTCACCATTCATTCAGAACGGACCTTCGGGTCACCCGGAAGGCGGAGAAATTATACATTTGTGTCACTTTATCTTCGCTGATAAGATATACAGCCATACAATCCTATGTGACTCCCAATGATACTTCCGGGTTTCTTCCCACCGCAGCCTCGATTTCGCTTTTGAAAATGGCAGCCGCGTGAAATCAGTCTATTTCAAGAAATTGGTCAGGTTTATGGCCTTAAAGTCCTCCTGTGTGCAGAGTTAGTTTCTTACAAACCTCATATGTGATATGTAATTGTACTGCAGTCAAAACCTGCCTGGAACTACTTCATGCTGCCTTTTGAGCATTGGGAAGATTTGAGTGATGTCTATGCTGATAGTCATTCACATGCATTGGGGCATTTTTCCTAAACACAATAGTTTTAATAACTTATTTCTAATAACTGACTTATTTTATCTTTGCCATGATGACAGTACATAATACTTTACTAGATATTTTTCAAGACACTTGAATTGAGCTTAAAATGCTATTTAAAGACTTAAATTAAAGATTAATTAGGCAAGTTAGGATGATTAGGCAAGTCATTGTATAACGAAGGTTTGTTCTGTAGACTTTCGAAAGCAAATATTGCTTAAGGGAGCTAATAATATTAAAATTAATATTAGAAACATATAAAACTGCTTTTATTCTAACTGAAATGAAACATATACTGTAAGACTTACTCCAGAAGAAAAGGTGTTGGCAAAAATACTGTGAAAAATTACTTGCTCTGTTCACATCATTTGGAAAAATATGTGAAAACTCACTTAAAAACTCACAATTTTGACTTCTTATTTCCACATTTTCAGTCCTGCCTAAACCTCAAGTAAGCTACAAGACCACATCGCCAGGAGTGATCGAGGCGAACTGTACAGCTGTGGCCCGACCAAAGGCTGAAATAGTGTGGAATGTGGAGGGGAATGACAGAACCATCGGTCCACCTGTGACCATCGATGTCCAGCAGAGTGACGGGACGACTCTGGTCATCAGCACCTTGACCATCCAGGCCGGACTCCTGAAGGACGTCTCCGTCAAATGTCTGGTTCATCATAAAGGACTGGAGACGGCCATTGCTGTTTCCATGAACACTAAAAGTGAGTGGAATCTGTTTTAAACTATATATTGATTTGGTAAGACACTTTTTTTGTTAGAAAGTATGTGTAGTAGGGTATTTGTCATAAATGTTGATGTCACCTCAAGTCATGAAAGAAAAGTATGAAGACGTACTTTTATCATAATTGAACTAATAAACTTTATTTGATTAATATTTGTTAGTTAAGCATAAATCAGACAAACAAGTAATGTAATAATATCAATACATCCAATGTGTATTAAATTAATTCATCTAATTTGTGCAGCATTGCGCTCCTGCGTTTTAAGTAAACTAATTCCATAGAATTTAAGATGGATCTGTCTTTTTTCTACAGCTACAGTAGATATGTTTATACCATATTCATCTGATTAAATCTAATAGTATTCCATTTTAACTAATTTAGATTGATTCTAAGGAATCTGACAACATACAATTCACAAAGCTGACAAGTTAAATAAAATCAAAAGATTCCAAACAGTTAATAATAAGCTTCATTGTGATTTTTTTTATTTTTTATGTTATGTTATAGGCCATCAGTGTGTGACTGAGAGTAAATAAGGAGTCCTAGAACATGACTTTTTTATTACTTTTTTAAAACTTAGTCTATATAAAGATAAATAATAAAGGTCTAATTAAGATTTAATCAGTTTTTGTTGGGACAACATGAGGGATTTGTGTGAAACCCAACCATTTTTTTTGTGCATAGATGTAGTTACATAATGGTATTGGTCACACTTTACAATAAGGTTCATTAGTTAATGTTAAGTAATGCATTTACTAACATAAACAAACAATGAACAATACATTTACTACAGTATTTATGTTAATAAACGGTAGTTAATGAAAATACAGTAGTTCATTGTTAGTTCATATTGCATTAACTCATGGTGCATTAACTAATGTTAACAAGCATGGACTTGAATGTTAATAATGCATTAGTAAATGTTCAATTATGATGAATAAATGCTGTACATGTGTTGTTAATGATTAGTTCATGTTAGTAAATGCATTAACTAATAAACCTTATTGTAAAGTGTTACCATGGCATTTCCATGGGCTTTACTGCTGCTTTTTCCATCTCCATTTGTCTGTTAACATCTGATTTCCAGAAACATTAACACTAGAAATCACTAAAACTAGTATTCGCTGACAACATAAATGGTTTTCGCACAGTATGAACATTATTTGACATGCATGAAACAACCTTTTGTATGCATGAAATAGAATGAAACAACATTTTTATTTGTTATATTATATCAAGATAATAATAACAGTGTATACAAAGCTCTTTTTTATTGTACAAGAGAAACTGAATTACTATTGTTTAGCACATTCCAAACAGCTTTATAGATTTTATGTTGGTATATGTTGCATAAATTGTGTATAACAAAACATTGATTGAGCTCAGAGAATTTGTTGTAATGTAAAAAATCTGCTTTAGATATCAAATGTAAAAACCTGGTAAGTTGTAAAAATGTCTTGATCTGAAATAGTTGTCTACCAGTGGACAGAAATACTCAGGGAAACAAACCTTTAAAGCCAAGAAAACACTTCTGTAGTTTATACAAAGGGTGGAACGGGAACAGATCTTAATCACAAAAGGCTGCAGTGTTGTCCTGAGACTGTCATAACTTGCAGTCTTGTTATATCAGACTGGTTATATTCCTTGGGTTATTTTTTAAGCCCCTGTATATAATGTAGAGTTAGTTAAACACAAGTGCTGTTTAATTTGACTTCTGGATTTATCTCTGTTTTAAACTTTTTTTCAGCAACTGGATGCTTTTGGCCCTCTGGAATTTTAAAAAGTAAAACTTATTGTTGGAAGATGATTATTGTTTAAACACTCTCTTCACACGCTAGAATTGTTTATCTACAAAAGAAATGTCCATCTGTGGACTTATCCACATGAACATTTCAACAGTTTGGACATTTATTCTTTCTTCCTGTTTACTCTAATAGTCTGCAGTAGCGAAAACAAGAGACTCATTAGAAGCAGATGGCAATCTCTGGTTTTAAGACTTCAGGATAAATCCCATCTCACACTCAATACACCACAATTATTATAGTATAAATACAGCACAACATACAAAAGAGAGATCGACTTATAAAGTCACTTACCAGTTTATTAATGATTTGATCAGCTGTAGTTTAAATTAATGCTGTATTTTTGGTCTCAGTATGACAAGCTAATGGCTACTGACGTGCTGTCTCTTATAAATTATAAATATTTAAAAATAGACACTATCTATATAAATAAACTGCATAGTTACAATCTAAACAACTACATTCTCACATAAAAACGCCTCAAAAGTACATTATGTTGCCCAAAAGCAGCAATATTTGTAAAACTGTAGAGCAGGGGAGGCCAACCCTGTTCCTGGAGAGCCACCTTGCTGCAGATTTCAGTTGCAACCCATATCAAACACACCTGCCTGTAATTATCACGTGGTGTTCAGGTCCTAATTAATTGGTTCAGGTGTGTTTGATATGGGTAGCAACTGAAATCTGCAGGAAAATGGCTCTCCAGGGACAGGGTTGGCCACTCTGTAGAGTGTCCTCTGCTTGTTGCTGTATGTGGGCGGAGTAATACACAAAGGTGAAGGGTGAAGAGGCTGGACGAGTGCTGCTACTGACGGAATATTGCACGGCTATCAGCCAATCAGATTCAACAACCAGACAAAACTGTGGTATAAATGGGATATAAATGTCCCTGAAATATCCAGTAACAGGTTATTGTGCCATTCCTGAAGTGAAATAATAACAAAAAGATTACTGAGAAAAAATCTCTAGTATCAATAAATGATTGTCTTTCACTGTTTTTTTTTCAGTTGGCACAGCTCTTGCCATCCTGATCTCTGTGACTACAGTTGCTTTTCTACTGGTCCTCTGCCTGTGTTTCTGTTTGTGGAAGTGTGTCCTGCGCAAGGATGGTCAGTATTTATGCCAGCACAATCTTATCTTGAAGTCAAACAAAATAACCAAGTTGTAAGATATCATCCCATATAACTGCTTATCTAGAACAGGCTGATATGATTGTTCCTGAAAATAGTTTGAAACAACAAATAATTCTCAGTTTTGTTAATGAAATAACATCACAGAAATAGCCTGCAATAAAAAACATAAAAAAACATGTTTTGACATTTAGATTTTTTATTTTATTTTACCAAACTGGTGTGCTTCTAGAGTTTTTAAGCTCCAAAATGTGTGCATATATTTGAATGAACACCAAAGTTATTTCATGATTTAATACACACACACACACACACACACACACACACACACACACACACACACACACACACACACACACACACACACACACACACACACACACACATATATATATATATATATATAAATCATGATATATATCATGGTCGTTGCCATTTAAAAAAAAAATGTTTGTCTGTAACAGAGTCTGGTTTTTGCTATATAGTTTTCTGTTTTATGACTTTCTTGATCCTTTAAAACACAATAGCCTCTTTCACTGCTTCATTATTTTTTAAACTGTAATATTTAAACGTTCAATTGTAATTTAATTTACATCATTAATGAGTGGATCAGATTTATTATATTATGGGTGTGTTTGAGTGTGCACCGTTAGCAATTTTTGCAAACTACACTGTATTTAACTATAATATGAACTGTATTTTTCTGTAGAAAAGTTACAGTATGTTATTGTATTTTAAAGTTGCATTGTGAAAATGACTGCATATTTTACAGTAAAGACATGCATACAATTCTGTTAAAACATGTACAGCAAGATAAATAGTGCTGTTAATATAAATACAGTGTTTTGCTGCAATTGATTTACAGTAAGTTACTGGCAAACTGCTTCCAGTAAGTTTCTGTAGATTCTACATGAAATTGTTTACAGTGTGTGTAAAAAAAACAATAATGCTTGAAATAACAGATTGAACTGAATTAATGTGTAAATTATTGATCTGTATCACAATATGGCTCCTCATGCTTTTATACTTCTGTTCTACATGCGCAGAGCCTGAAGAGCATCAGCTACCGAGAAGAAGCCGAGAAAACAGAGAAGCAGACAGCTGAATGTAGGTGTTTCTTAGAATGCACAGCAGAAAGTGCAAAACATCTTCCTGTGACCTATTTCTGCTTCATTGTCAGGGGCTATAGTGTTAAACGTAGACAATTATTGATTGACCCAGTCAGACGTTGATCCTACTAGCTGATCAGTCAGAACCTAATAACATAGTCAGCTTACTACTGTTTATCAGATTTAAAGAGATACATCACCCAAAAAAGAAAATTCTTTCATCATTTACTCATCCTCCACTTGTTCCAAACCTGTTTGATTCTTTCTTTTGTTGAACACAAACGATATACTTAAAAATGCTGGATAAAACAGACATTAGGTGCATCCCAAATTGAACACTTGTATCCTACTCCACATCAATTTGTAGTATAATTAATATAATTAGCGCATTGAAAATGAAAATTCTAAAAAAATAAGTGCACTTTAAATATTTGCACGATGCACTTATTCAAGCGATAAACAGAAGACATAAAAGAAAGCAACAAAATCAGGTTTGGATTAAGTGGAGGACGAGTAAAGGATGGGAGAAGTACCATTTTTGTGTGAAAAATCCCTTTAACATACAGTATATATGAAATACCTACTTGCTACAGTTACATATGTGTTTCCACAGAATCGTTCTGATTGTGGCAGACTAAAGCTGCAGTTTTCTTTACAATACGAATTTGCTGAGACACCCGTGAAGATGAAAATCTCTTGTCATCAAGTTCCCTACATTTCCTGCCAAAGAAAACCAGTGACACATCTCTACACGAGGAAAGATGACACATTTCCAACAATTTGTGAATCTATCACTAATATAAAGTTTGCAGGACAGAGGCCAATTTAATTACCATTAATTTGTTTTAATATTGGCATCTATAACTTGTAACTAGCTATTCACTCATAGAAAAAGTAAGAACATTTCAGATATAATTATTGTAAGTAATTACAATGCTACCACAAATTCCAGTGACTTTTGTAAATAGTATGGTTTTGTTGTATCTTTCCTGATGCTAATGTTATGATCAAATAGATTCATTCATAGTTTCTTGTAATAATGATTTCACTCTAGCCTTTTAGTTTTAATGTTGAAATTCAGACTGCTGATGAAAGGATGTATGTCCTATAAGGTAGGCATGTTGTAATGGTACAAAAAAAAAGCTGACGTTTTTGATCATTCTGTCCTTTTAGTTTGCATTTTGTGTCAACTTTTCCTTTTTTAGGCTTGTTTAAAGAAGGGGTCACCAACCCTGTTCCTGGAGAGCTACCTTCCTGCAGAATTCAGTCCCAACCCTGATCAAGCACACCTGAACCAATTAATAGTACTTAAAGCAGCACTTGATAATTACAAACAGGTGTGTTTGGTCAGGGTTGCAACTGAAATGTGCAGGAAGGAGCTCTCCAGGAACAGGGTTGGTGACCCCTGGTTTAAAGGGTCACGAAACACATTTTTTAAGCTGTTGACAGTCATATATGTGTCCCACACTGCTAAAAACACTATTATAACACATATATTTCACTAAAAACTGAAAATTTGTTGTTTTTGCGAGCAAATTCGGTTTGAAATAAATTTTTGAAGCTGCGTCTTGGCCATGAGATCTTAGCATGTATTCCAGCATGTAGACTGAACGTCTGTACCTGGGAGTACCTTATTACGTCTCTGAGTGTGCTGCATTATTCATGAGTATGGCTTGGTTCAAACCAATCAGTGCGCTCTATTGTGTATGCGGTGCAGCTTCATTAATATGCATGCTAGCTTCGAAGACTGTTCGTACCTGAAACAGCTTTCAGACGGCAGAGAGACGACATGTTGTGTTGCCAAAAGACGTAGGAAAAAAATAAGAATTGTTTGGAGATATGGGTCGTCAGTGTTGCTTTTATAATGTGCTGCAACAAAGGTTTTGTTTTTTATTTTCTTGCTATAAGAGCGCAGTTGGACTCATGTGTGGATCAGTGCACACGACACGCGGCAGAAATACAGTTGTACGGAACATTTTTTACTCTTTTTGAGGGTAAAAAAGAGCTTTTTGCATCTGGAAATTGTGAAATCCGGATTTGCAGCTCGTCTCCTTTTTAAAAAGATGCGGCTCTAGTTGGTGTTGATTGTTCTGTCTCTACAGATTTGGTAAGTGTGTGTGCTATCAGCGCCCTTTTCTTTGTTCATTCAGATGGCAAAGTTATAGTTTGTATTGTTAGCAGTACTCTTTCAGTGTTTACAGACAAACAGATTTCCAAAATGATTTCCAAGTTACTTAGTTTACGTTAATATCACTACAATATTATGGACTGAAAGATCTGCTGTAAATGCTGCTCTCCGAGTGTAAACATGTAAACACTGCAAGCAAACTATTACTGACCGTCGTGTTTAGTTTTTGATGCATTTTGTGATAGGATAGTCTACACACACACACACACGGCTTTCTGGCCTACCGAGAAATGTGTTTTTTTTCTTATATACGTGCTGAATCAAACATTCCACCGCCATTAAACACAGTCACTGTCTTTCTCCCCTGCGTGCGTGTTTGTTTTGCCTCAAAATCAGCTCGTGACCAAATGGAAACTCCCACTTTTATTCAAATCCTTCCCCTTTTCCCTCCCTCGACACTCCCACCTAAACAGAGTTAGACACACCCACTTTCTTGTCTTTTTCCTAACTAGAAGTGTGAAAACAGCCTGCTGAAACGGGGGTTTCGTGGCCCCTTAAATGTCTTTGGTCAATATGTCATTGATATTGTTTTCAAACTTAGTTATTTCTTAGCTGATCTGTTGTTGAAGCTTTAAATGGCACTGGTCACTCATAAAATGAGCCACACTAACACACTAGTCACACCAGAGCTTCTTTTAGGCCAATCAGACCTGCAAAATGTGACAACACCCTGTCATTCATCAGCTATTGGGCTTAAGCTACATTGAAAATGAAGAGAATAAAGAAAGAACATTTTCTAAAATTACCATTTTTCTCAGTCTTCTGTTTATGTTCAGGAATTTCACTTTAAAGACAAAGAAATTAACCTATTAATAATCAAAAAAGTTAATCACTGAAGAAAAATGCTCATTTTAGAAAGAGATTTTCAGATTGCATTTAGAGGTTTTTGCAACTGAACTCTTTAAATGTACTTTGATAACACTGAGAGGTCATGACCAGCTTCTCAAAGCGTTCACTACAGCAGTGAAAATGCATTATCTGCAGTCTGATTTGGGATGAAATGGATTGCAAATATTGTAGATCTGCTGACTTTATAACCAGAAAATCAGACATGCATATGTACATGTGCAAGCCTTATAATGATAACAACTAATAAAAGGAGATTGTTGTCTTATGCATGATAAATGACTTTTCATATTCCTCGGTTTATGAGAATATTCGCCACACTTAAAGTTTATAAATTTACTCTGAATTTTGTTAGTTCTTAGAGGAATACAGTACTATTTTTCCTAGTGTAATATATAGTTATTGTATGTGTTGTGTGCTTCAAGCTTAAAAATGTGAATGCTATTGACTTGTTTTGTTTTGGTAATACATTTCTATAATTTTACATGAAAAGTCTGGGTTTATTTAATATATTATGATACTTTGTTCTATTAAATTACAGTATGCATTATAGATATTGTGCTTTAGATGTTTATTGATATTTTGAAAGTGTTGTAATGTGACAAAGAAAAAAACAAACATATTTTGGCTTGGTATATTTTGACTCAAAATAAATATCATCACAGTATTAAAATGACAGTCCATCCAAAAGGAAAATTGCTCATTAGTTTAAGCTCATACAAAAGATAATTTGAACAATTAATGTTAACCAAACAATTATGGTTCTTACTGATTTCTGTTGTATTTTATATTCAGACTCTTTTGCATTTATCTACTCTCATTTTTTTTTTTTTTTGGGGGGGGGGGGGGGGTGGACACTTCTTGTAGGGTTTAAATATTTTAAATTGTGGCAATTTTGAAATATTGGGTAACACTTTATTTTGATGGTCCATTTGACTATTAGTAGACTGCTTAATATCTGTTGATACTGCTCCTTTAACAGACATAAACAGACTACAAGAATCTTTGCAAGTACATGTCAGCTTACACTAACCTTAACCCCAACCTAACAGAACTACTTTACTAATAATCTAATGAGAATTAATTGGCATGTAGATGCAAGGTAACTTAAATTCAACAAACAGACCATCAAAATAAAGGGTCCCACTTTATATTAAGTGGCCTTAACTAATATGTACTTACATAGGAATTAATAGCTAGCTACAATGTATTCATTGTATAAATACATGTATTTACTGTGTACTTATGCTTAATTGAATACATGTATGTAATTACATCTGTAATTAACTTTTGTAGTTACATTTGCAAATACACTGTTGACCATCCCTTACACCTTAACCCACCCTTAAACCTACCCATGCCACCAAACCTGTCCATAACCCAACCTCTATTCCAACTCAAAAGCATCACAAGTGTTCTCAAATACATTATAAACACAGTAAGTACATTATATTTATTTTTTTGATGTAAGTACATATTAGTTAGGGACACAACATAAAGTGGGACCCTTTTAATCGAATCCAAATTAAGAGGACAAGATAAGGATGTGTGTTTATGATTGCTGAAGAGCTGCTGACATCCTGGAGCTCACATCTCTGAAATCACAAATATATACACACAAAAGTCTTGTGGTCGATCCCAGTTGTAAGAGCAACAAATAATAACTTGACTTCTTGTTGATCATTTGGAAAAGTGGCAGAAGGTTGACTGAATCCCAACCATCACAAATACTGCAGAAGACCTACTGGAACACGCATGGACCAAGATTCTAACAGAAATCAGTTCAATTTGGTGAAGAAAAAAATCATGTTTTGGGGTTACATTCAGTATGGAGGGTGTGAGAAAGATCTGCAGAGTGTATAGCAACATCAACAGCCTGAGGTATTAAAATATTTGTGCTGCCCATTACATTACGCACCACTGGAAAGGGCAAATTCTTGAGCAGGATAGCGCTCCTCATACTTCAACCTACACATCAAAGTTCCTGTAGGCAAAGAAGGTCAAGGTGCTCCATGATTGGCCAGCCCAGTCACCAGATATGAACATTATTGAGCATGTCTGGGGTAAGATAAAGGAGGAGGCATTCAAAATGAGTCCAAAGAATCTTAATGCACTCTGAGAGTCCTGCAAGAACACTTTCTTTGCCATTCCAGATGACTTTATTAATAATGTATGGATGCAGTCCTCTAAGCTCATGGGAGTCATACACAATATTCATTCTCTTCACACTGCACCATGACTTTATACTCTATACTGTACATTATGTTTGTTAAGTGACAAGACTTTTGTCAAAGCAAAGTCAGACCTTACTGTCCTAATTAATTAAAAATTCAGGCATGTTCATATTTTATTTTGGTAAAATAAGCGTAATCTAGAGCAGGGGTTCCCAAACTTATTAGCTTGCGACCCCCAAAATAACAATGTTAGTGACTCGCGACCCCCCAATATCCTCTGAGGTGGTTATATATACAGAAACCTTGCATGCAACAGCGCACACACACCAATAAACCCAAGTTTATTCTTAGTTTAATGTTAGTTTTCATGTAAATCAGAGCTGTAAATGTGCCAGAAAGTTTAACCTGATATTATAAAACCAATCTGCTGCATCTGACGCCATTGGTGTGTCTTTAAAATTATGTAATTACCCCAGGGGTCGCAATCCAATAGAACTAGTAACTATAAGCGACTGTAGTAACTATATAGTATATATTCACTATAAAAAACTATTTTTCTTTTCAGTAGTTTATTCATAAAGTATGGTAATTCTTATGGTTTAATATAAATAGATTTTTGGAAATCACCAGGCGACCCCCCTTCATTGTCCCGCGACCCCTTGGGGGGTCCCGACCCCCACTTTGAGAACCACTGATCTAGAGCAGCGGTTCCCAACAGGGGGGTCCTGGCCCACAAGGGGGCCTCAGCGAGCCCTGTGGGGGTTTCTTAGCAGTGTGCAATTAGGGGAATGATCATGTTGCCTTAGTTAATA